ACCTGACCTTGACCTGACCTCGACCTGAAATTCATCCAGAGGTGGTCCATATCACTTATTGAGTGTGCCTATTGAATTCCATGAGTAAAATGACCCATAAAACATGTGTCGCACATGCCCTTTTCTATATTTTGTTTTTGGTGACCTGACCTGACCTGACCTGACCTTAACCTTGACCTTTGAATGACATTGTGTGCAACGAATATTGTCTTGGTAGTCTAAGAACACGTTTTGGGCAATCAGTCTCAGTCCATTCTTCGGCAACTACGGTGCAAGGCCGATACTGTAGAAACTTGCATTTTGTACCCTTGACCTGACGTTGACCTGACCTCTGACCTACTTAAGCAAAAAAATTTGGGCTCTTAAGATCCGCCTTGTTGAGAGCTTTCGATTGCCGTTTTCCCCGTCTTTCTACGACCATCGGTTCGGAAGTTAGACAGGGGGGGGGGGGCAGAATATGCCCCCCCCCCCCCCCCAGCAGGGCGCGTATGGCTGAATAGCCCAGCGGGGCGCGGGTTAAGTTTCATCATCATCATCAAAACTTGATGATGGCGTAATGCCGAAAGCTTGTTTAACTGTTTTAGATATTTATTTTGCCTAAAATAAAAACACTTTGATTTGCGTGAGATCATTTCAAGCCTCCTTATATTAATCATAATCATGTCATCCATCCTCGCCCCCATAATCACTTATTAAGTATGCTTATTGAATTCTATGAATAAAATGACCCATAAAACATGTGTCGCAGATGCCCTTTTCTATATTTCGTTTTTGGTGACCTGACCTGACCTTGACCTTGACCTTTGCATGATATTACATGCAACGAATATTGTCTTGGTAGCCTAAGAACACCTTTTGGTATTTGACATAACCTCCTTCGACCAACTTCATGACCTGGGGGCGCTGACCTGACCTTGACCCGGGGTCAACACCTGGAGTTGACCTCAGCCGAGCAAAAAGTATGCCATTCGACGCGCCTCAGGGAGACGAACACGATGATGCCCTAATCGCCGTTCTGCGACCGTTTTTTTGCGTTTATGAAAAACCGAACCAGTACCTACCTGGGGTCACCTGACCTGGGCTCAGGGCTCACCAAACGCCCAAAGGCGCTGGTGAGCCCAGATGGCCCAGCATATAGTTGCCCCCCTTTACTTCTGCGACGATATCGTCGCGACGTGAGAAGATAGAGCAGCGAAACTTTGCACACATCTTTCTGAATATCTAGCCGAAGTTGTGTCCAAATTTGGTGTCAATCCTATTTGAAATGACGTCACAGTGACGTCAGAAGTCAAATTATAGATTTGCGACCCTCAGTTTCCTCACGATATATCCGACATACGAGACCGAATATAAAAGACCGATTATTGCTTGGTCAGGAACTAGTTGAAGTGTATTTAGATGTTTTAGGATGACAGCAGGTGCTGTCTGGTTCATTTGCAGTAAGTTTCATGCTCAGCGACAACAGAAACGGTCCGTATCGGAAAACGACAAAACTTTATGACATCACTGTGACGTCATCTTAACCCGGCACCGCCTGGGCTATTTCCGTACCCACGACAGCCTGGGGGGGGGGTCGGATCCGATCCCCCCCTGTTATCTCGAGAACCAATGGTCGCATCGAGCCCCGCGAGGCGGCGTTCGAAAGGTCTCTACGAGACCTTCCCAAAGCACTCTTAAGATTTTAAGATTGAGGTCAACTTTCGGGTCAAGGTCAGGTCAAAGGTCAAATTCTGAGGTTTTGCATGATTAGGCTTACGGACAGCGGAATCGATAGCTGCTGCTCGAAACTCACCAAAAATGACCTCAAAGACCTAGTGAAGGTACCATGTGCGTATAGGGGTCATACTAAGTACGGGTGAAGGTCAGGTCAGGTCACGAAAGGTCACGGTTTTCACTTTCTGCTACATAGGCGTGCGACACATGTTTTATGGCTTATTTTTCACGCCGAATCCGATGGTAATGGTTATATGTGACCCCAAGTCACTGTGCTGGCGATAAGTGTGCATTGAAAGCATACAAAATCGTTTATACCATACATAACTAAACGAGGGCTAAGAAAAAAGGTCAATTTTTCAACATTTTATTTTTGACATAAAATGCACTTTTCTAGACGAGCTTTGTCCCAGGAATCTAGTGGTGCCATTTGTTTTCACATGCGATGTTCAGAAGTGCCTCTAATTCACGAAAATGCTTATGACGTCACGATGCCCTATGCATGTTGGAGCTATTTTTTACAATTTGGGGGTCAAAAATCAAGATAAAAAGTTGAAATTCGGAACATCTCATGTTCTAATAGAGCTCTATAACATTTATTCCGGTTTTTTTGGGAATTTCTCAAAATTTTGGATTTTATTAGCTGTTTTCCAAAAATATAGTTTTTTGAATTTTTAGGGATGAAAAACGCATTTTCTGGAAAATCCGAGATTTCCATTATAAAGAACTCGTTAAGCTGCGTCTATTCATGTCCTTAATTTGCAATTTGCTTAAAACCCTGATTTTTGGCGATTTTTTAAACATTTACCACTTTTTGACTAAAAACGCCATGTAGTTACGTCACTAAAATAGATATATCTCAATTTTTTTGGATTTTTTTTTTCTTAACAATAACACAATACACGTCAAATTGATGGGGGAGAAGGTACGCCAAGTTTCAAGTTGATAGCATAAGCGGTTCATGAGTTATTCAAGAAAAACGGTGGGTGTCGGATCCGACCCCCACCCAGGCGGTCGCGGGTTAAGTGCTACACTGCTACAACCACCAATCTTCCCTCAAACATTGCCTAAGTATTCATTTGAAGCTATGCCAAGTTTCACGTTCGTAGCTTATCAGGTTTCGGAGATATTCGACAAAACGTAAAGGGGGAACTTTATGCCCCCCCCCCCAGCGGCTCGTGGGTTAAAATCGGGTACCACTCGCTGCGTCTCGTATAACGGTGCAACTGCACACGCTCGTTTTTCCGCGACGCTCTAGCTCCATCAGGGACGAAACGGCGAGGCCCCCCTCGGCCGGCGCGTGTGTAGAAAACCAATAGGTCCCGCGAGGGTTATGTTAACCCTCGCCGGACCTATTGGTTTTCTACATACGCGCCGGCCGAGGGGGGTGGCGGGTACGACCCCCCCTCGCCGTTTCGCCCCTGGTGGAGCTAGCGCGTCGCGGAAAAGACGAGCGTGTGCGCCGTTACGAGACGCAGATATTGGTACCCGATTTTAAGGTCCTAGGTCAACCGGTGACCTCTGAGGTCAGGCCAAGTGCCCCAAGGTACGGTTCAGTTTTTGGTGAATAACTTCGCAAAAAACGGCCGCAGAGCGCCGATTTTGGCAGCATCGTGTTTGTCTCGCTCAGGCGCGTCGAATGATATATTTTTTGTCCGGGTCAGGTCAACTTGGAGTGTTGACCTCAGGTCAAGGTCAGGTCAGCACCCCCAGGTCACGAAGCTGGTCAAAAGAGGTCATGTTGCATATCATTCGATTCGGCAGGTCTTCCTGAGTCCAATGGTGGCTTTCCCGACTCGCTAGCTCAATTTTATCAAGAGTTATTGACGAAAAACTAATATGACCTTGATGACGTCATAAATGACGTCACGCAAGGTCAACATTGCAAAAGTGACGCATCTAACCTTGCAAGGAGTGCATCAAATCACGATTCTGTGTGCTTGAGATAGTTGGAGATCGTTCCCGGCGCCAGAATAGCAGTTTTCATTTTTCCCCATTGACTTATAATGGTGAGGTCACGAAAATGACCTGACCTCATATGACCTTTAGGAAAAATCCGAGATATACAAGTTGTGGGACTCATAATGAATACTAGATCCTGCAAGTTTCATTTCCCTGTGACATCTCCTCTGGCAGTGAGGGCGTTGCGAAGTTGCGACATCTGAAGACCGTGCAGAGGTTCACTTATGACGTCATAGGTCAATGACCTGACCTGACCCAAAAATATGGTTGGTGTCAAAAGATGCGGCTTGGATCAAAGGTCAGGTATGCCAAGTTTCAGCTCTCTATCGCCAGCGTGTTCGGAGCTATCGCGAAAAAACCCTATGGGGGGCGGCACCCGCCCCCCCCTTCGGCCGGCGAGGGTTAAAGGTAGTGTGCCACCTTTGAAAGATTTCCCATTTTATTTTTCCTAGGATAAGAAGCTTCTGTTTTTACCTAATATCGCAAAAAAATCAAAAATGGGTCTGGAATAGTGCCTTTTTCGCCTAAAAGTTTTTCGGTTTTTAGATATGTATAACAACTGTAGTGGGCTCAGGTCTGCAAACAGGCGTCGGGCAACAATCGCGAATGCGGCGCACTTGTGACAATGAGCAAAGGTCATTATAGTGTTACGACCATACGACGTACGGGAATGAGTTATCAGCTGTCTAATCGTAGACAACACAATGTCGAGCCTTAAACTGTAAGCCCGTGTTGGTATTGTTTCTTTTATTTGGCTGTCGAACATTATTTATGGTTTGAAATATGATTTTATGTAAAATAATTGATATGAAAAAGCCGTCTTATAAGTTATGACCCCATTTCACCACACGCAAGTGGCAGAAATGACAATGATCAGCTGACGCATTTTTCTTGGCCGAAGTCAGAGCGCGCGGCCCGACGCACCACGCGTATTTGGAAATTCCGACCTCGACGAGCATCAGAAGCCACCTAACAGGCGTGTTCGAAACCGCAGGAGATGATGATGAACGGGTTTATCGAAACTTGATTGGATGAGCATATCGGTAATAGCGATTTCAGTGTGTGCATTTATTGTTCATAGTGGTGTGAAATGTGGTTGGGGTACGACCGACAACCCGTCGGGGCGAATTTCGCACTGGGGTACTCAAAATTTGAAGAATTTAAGACGTTTCCATGAGTTTTGAAGGTATGGATAAGTTCTAAAAATCCGGTTCTCCTTATCTGGGCCATTAACTCCATACGGTCCAAGAAAGCTGGCACACTACCTTTAATGTCTTGGATGCTTATGCAGAATTGGGTGCCCTGGGGCCCGCTCTGGGCCGGGGCTGCTGTTTGGAGCGTCACGCAGAGTGTCGGAGGGCCGGCGCGCGCCGCCCGACGCCAGTCGTGGAGCACACTGCGTGCCGGGAGGGTGGTGCGCGGGCCGGCGCTCCGCCCGGCAGCGGCGCGACACATCTGCAGTGTAGCGGCGATCGGGGGCTGTCCCAGCAGAGTCGGAGCGGAGGACTGCCCTAATACGACATGGACAGGTCGGCAGCAGGGGTACAGGCGTCCAGCGGGGCCGCGCTCACCTCTTCAGTCAGATCGGGGACCAGGTAAACATGGATAGCTACTATGCTGAACAGCGTCACCTCTTACACCAGCTGAATAGTCTGTACTTTTATATAAACTTTTGGGGCGGCAAACGCGCGAAGGCGCTGGTGAGCCCCACGCCTTTGGAATTGCAAAGGGGTAGGTATCCCCAACTGATTTATGCAATATTCACGGCACCGGTCTCTTAAGGTGTAACACAAGCGCAAGCGCAAGCGTGCCAAGTGCGAGACAAGTGCAAGTGCAAGTTCAGAGTGCAAGCGGCCCTGTTGTTCTTGAGATCTGCAGGTGACCCCTGCATTTGCGTTGCGCATGTGTAGTAGCACCCAGACTAGAGGTGGCAAAAGATGAAAATTTTGGGAACCAGACTCGAACCAGACCCGACTGGACATTTCTAGAACCAGTAAGACCCGGTCTTAGTTGGAATCTGAACCAGTTGGACCAGTTCCCCAAAAGTCAATGAATACAAACTTTTTGTAGGCATCATTAGTTGCATAAAGTAAATCAGCCTTTTCTGGGAAAACTTCGAGCTACAGTGTGTAAAGAAGCGTAACATGAGCGTATATTTTATTTTCATTCATTTCATACTTTGCAATCAGGTTTAGTATGAAAAGTAGGTGGTTTATGGTGGGACTCGGTTGGTGAGAAAATATCCAGGAGCCGGTCTGGACCCATATAGATCCAGACCGGGTCCTCGGATCCACATTGTCACCGACAATGTGTCGGTGACATCCGACACATTGTCGGATGTCACCTCTAACCCGCACTGCCATTCATTGAAATGCATTGTCCATCGTGGGCGGGCACTTTTGCCTACATAGTAGATATGTCGTAGGCATCGGCTGAAATCCGGCATTTCATGAAATGCCTAACCTTGAACCTGCTTGCACCTACATAACATATCAAACCATTAGACCTAGCCTTACGTGTTATGTGAAAAGTATATTGTAATGGAAATCAGATGGATTAGTAACCTTTTGCTCATAACTAATGTAAGCCAAAAACAAATCCAAAATATATTTTCGGTGCTGGACCTTCTTCAGTGGAATGACAAAAACACGAAAGAGTGACACATTTTAAATCATGATAAGTAAGGACGCACTCGCAACGCTAATAAAGCTACTTCCGAGAAAACGCATCACATTCATATGAAACATCCAGATTTTTGAAGGCATCAAACATAAGTAGATAAGGTTAGGTTACATTAGGTAAGGTCGGGTTAGGTGTTGTTGTTTAGGTTTGGTGCTGAGCCAGCGCCAAATAATGCAACCCAAACATGGGATGAAATGCGGCATTTCATGAAAAGCCTAGGCTTTCCACGTAAAGCCTGGACATTTCAAGAAATGCTGGATTTCACCTGATGCCTGCGACAGATAACATGACAAAAATTCAGCGGAACCTGCACAGTAGTGGCTAAGTTATTGCACTTATTTCAGAACTGACACCTCATTTTTTCACGTGGCACTGGCACGTGCCGTGGACCGTGGTGGCACAAACCAGAGTTCAGGCAGGTTAGGTGCTTGGTAGAAGAATTGAAGCTACCCTATAAAAAAGACCGTAATTTAAGCAGTCAAATGGTTGCTGAGATATTGTGATCCCCTAATAAGCGTGACCAGAATTCTGCTATCTGTCTTATTTTTGAACGGACAACCATATAGAAAGAGGGGAAACAAACGACGCTCGAAAGCTCTAATTGCGCTGAAACTAGGGCTATCAATGAAGGGTGCCCAAAGGGCGATGCGTTTCCATGTATCACGAGTACGACTCACGGTATATGCATGCATGCAGCCGCACGTTTCCACGCGCAGGGCTCACTATTGCACTCACCCCAAAAAGGCGCGTCTTCCTGGTAGCGATCGATTGCTTCCTAAGTGCGCACAACAAAATATTTGTGCATGGCGAGTGCCATTAAACTTCCAGGCGGTGTGTGGGGGGGGGGGGGCATTTTTTGCCCCTCCCCCTTTAGTTTTTTTCGATATATCTCGAGAACCGCTGCGCCGATCGTCACCAAACTTTCAGTACCCTCCCGAGAGTAGCTATTACATATCGCGACCAATTTTTTTTCCAAAGGCTATGATAGGTTGGCCGCTAATGACGTCGGAGTGACGTCATTTCTGCCATTTTCGACCCAAAAAAGGTTTCGCCGGAAGAGCTGTCGCCTGTCAGGCTACGGCTTTAGAGATACCTACAGTGGAATCCGCTTAATAAATCCATCTAGGTGACAAGGTGTTTTGGATTTATTAAGCGATGGCTTTATTAACCGGAGTCAGTTATTTTCATTAAAAAGGCATGTATCGTAGCTGGACGTTCCGTTCCCCCGCATTACAAGCGTACAGGCTAATGTTCCTCAGTACGCCTTGCTTATTACAATGAAAGTGACCAAGGGCTCCGCCACTGGTGGGGTCACGGAGGTCCGGACCCCAAATAATTTGACTTTCGTAATGCAGCCAAATGTATAAATGCAGGTTTAGAGTTGGACATGCCCCTGAACCTGCGACCGTAGTGAAAGTGTGCGGGGGCATGTCCCCTTGAAAGTGACCAGCGCACACTGCAAAGCTGTGGCATCGATCAATTCAACATATGCAGCCACGATCACTCCCGTCATGCCTGCTTTGCCAAAGAAACAGTCGAGTGTGCCTGCTTTGCGGGAACATTTCTTTGAAGTGCATAGTAATTGCGCCCTTGATAGCCCCTAACTCCTGTTTTTAGAACTCCAACTGCTGCCGACCGCCGCTCCAGCGCGATTCCTTAGGAGTGGCTTGGATGCCACATTTGGAATGGGGAGACGTTACTGCGGACGTCGGAACTCCCAAGTGGCTTTATTAGGTCAAAGTAAAAATTATCGTTGTTTGGCTTGTTCACATTTTGGGCTCTAGCTGCCGTACGTCTTACAAGTTCGATTAGGCTGATTTTTGGTTTACACACTCTTGAACAGATGCTTTAGATACCCTGACGGTACCAAACTTGTACTTTGATTTTCAGGTCAGGGTCAGGTCATCACAGGTCACGGAAATCTTATATCATAAGTCGGTCACGTGACACATGTTTTATGGTCCATTTAGGCCATAGATTTCGAATTCGGTGTCGCCTGTGTCATTTGAGGTCATTTTCATCTAAATATAGCTGAGGTCAGGTCACTTTCAGGGCAAAAAAGGTCAAATTTTAAAGTTGACATTTTTCAACAAAAAAAAATGTCTATCGGATGCAGTTTGTGCTCAGGAACACGATGGTGCTATTTACATTGGTGTACGATGTCAAATTCGTAGTGAAAAATTGATTTGAAAAATTTGAAGTTGTGAAATTTTTGCTAAAATGCGTAAAGCGGTCCTGGTGGCGCAGTTGGTAAGGCGTCAGCCCGCGATGCGGGAGGTTCCGGGTTCGATCCCCGGTGCCGCCCGTTCCGCGGGCGTCGTCCCCAGCTGTGTCACCAGGAGTGGGGTGGGCTCCCACGTTAGCGTAGCCTAGGGGAAGGGGTATGTAGGTTGGTGGAGCAGGAAATCCGAGATACACAAATTATAGGCGCCCATGACTTCATGCAATCCACCAAGTTTAAAACCTTTCTGACAAACACTGCAGGCTGGACATGATTGCAAACTTTTTTAGGCTAGGTCAGTTAACTTGACCTGGTGACCTGACCTGACATGACCTGGGGTCAAAAATTTCACACATTGTCCAAAATTGATGTACAAAAAGCTACACCAAGCGGAGCGGCGCTACGCGCCGCGGTTTTTTATTCACACGCAAAAAACGCGACAGGTTGGTAACATATGCCCCCCACTGGGGCGAAGGTTTTAACCCGCGCCCTGCTGGGGGGGGGGGGTGTTTGAACACCCCCCCCTTGTGGTTTTTCGCGAATATCCCAATAACGGCGGCGCGTACACCTTATCATACATCAATTCTACACATGTTGTGAAAATTTCAGACCAAGGTCATTCAAGGTCAGGTCACCAGGTCACTTGAAGTGACCTCACCTCATAAAATGTTTCAATGTCTATCGTAGCTACACCGAGTGACCGATCGCTTTGAAACTTTCAGCGATTGCTAAGAGCAATAGCATGTACAAAATGTATATCTCAGAATTTTGATATCGATGACCTAAGGTCAGGTCAATTTTGCGACCTCCCCATTATAAGTCAATGGGAGAAAATTGAAATGCGTCTCTTTTGGACGAAAGACATTATAAACACTCCCAAACACCAAATTACAAGTGGTTTAGACACACTGAACATGAAAATGGTCTCCGTGACCCTTGTTTATGCCCTGAGGTCATCTTAGGTCACGAATGGTATCTAACAGTTTTTCACAAATAACTTTTGATAGAGGCATGCTAGAGCGATAAAAATGCCTTATATGTGTTCAGCTCGACGATACGGATCGACTGATATGCAACATGACCCTTTCCGGTCAGGTCATGACCTTGATCCCTGAGGTCAAATTTTCAAGTTGACCTTTCAAGGTCAAGTTATAGTTCATTCGATGCGTCTTGACGAGAGGAACACGATGCCGGTGAAAGTAAGCTCGTACAGTAGGTCTATTAAAAAAGTCCCCAGCACCAGTGGGCGCTGCATTCGCTGAGCCGAACCCCCGTCTGCCTGTCCCATATCGCGCCGGGCTCAGGTCAGGTAGGGTCAGCGGGACCGCTCGGTCCGGCCCGCGGGCGGTGGACGGGCGGCCGGTAACGCTTTCCGCCAGTCAGCTGTAGAATCCAACAAACGGGACGGCCACCGCTCAGCGCAGCGAAACCGGTGTTAAAGAATGGCAGTATATGATGTTCATGGCCACAATGATTATGAGATAGTCATTGTTAGCCCGTGCCCCACAGGAATGCCTAGACTCTCACGCCCTGTTGGAGGGGAAATGGGGATTGAGCATCATTCTTTTAACTCAGCTTTGGGCATTTAAGTGGTATTCGAAGTAGCGTCAAAAGAAGCAAAAAGAAAAAATACTTAAGCCAATTTTGGATCGGGTCACAGCCAGAGGTCATGTCACTAGAGGTCATCGATGG